GAGATAGGATTATTAAAATGCCTGTACAACTGAAGCATAAATCTTTTTGACATTGTCTAATTTACCAGAGGTATGGACATTAGATACAGTTTATATTGTGTTCATTCTTAGCTGCTTAGATAAACAGAAATACAAGTGGAATTCCAAACACATTTTTCCTTTCTATTCCTGGACACCGCCATCAAGCATGGAAGAAGACGGGAACTGGAATTTCCCTTCAGATCTTGCTAAATGGCCACCCAGTTACCTGCTTATGTTTTCTCCTAGTGTGTTTCAACATTTTGTGTTCAATCAAATGTGTAAGTTTTAGTTTCTTCAAAGCACTGTTCAGTTCTTTGTTTAGCAACGCTCTCCTGGCTCCTTAAATGTTTGGAAAATGGTAGTTAAGTTTCTTGGTATGACAGAAGTACTTCTTACTCTCCAAAGCCGGAAGGATGCTGCTGCTTGTTAGCTGAGGTAGGCACTGCAACTGAAAGTACAGCACACATGATTAGGTTCGAAACCATGCCACGCGGCTTTTCTTTCATTATTTAAAATCCATCATGAAAGAAGTAACTTGCTCAGCACAAAAATATTTCTTTTTTTTCCCAAAGGATTCAGGATTGGAGAGAAGCTAGAATGTTTCGATTTGATCTGGTTTTCCTTTTAAAGCTTTATTTTAAAAAGCAAAAACCATATATTAAAGAAAATGTGAAGAATATGAAAAAGAAGGGAAATCTGCACATAAATATTATTGGAAAACAAATTTACAGGAGTTGAGAGCTTGCTGGGACCTTAGGGATCATTTAAGCCAATGCCTTGTCTTAATAGCAGAGAAAAACTGATTCCCAGAGGACTTAACGCTATTTGCCCACTCGTCTCCTTAGTTAAAAAGGCAAAACTGTGAGTCAGCAAGGGGGCATGGAAGTTAAGGCACTGGATCCCATATGGCCAACTCTGTGGTTCACATCCCAGACCTGGTGGCTTGTAAAACAGGCCAGGTGCATGTGCGTGCATGCCCAAAATTCTGAGAGGAGAATGGTGGAGAAGGAAAATCATCCCCCTGGTGGGTGATTTCTCACTTTCCCTCTCTCTCTATCTCTCTGTCTCTCTCCAGTGAGTGCACATACCCTACAGCAAAACTTAAAAAAACTTTAAAAAGCAAAATTGCTTTCTTCAAGCTTCCAGAAAATGTCTGAATTTATTGTCAATGTTAAATGAAAGTAATACCTATATTTGTGTGTGTGTGTGTGTGTGTGTGTGTGTGTGTGTGTGTGTGTTTTAATGGGGAGGGAGGAAGAGGGAAGGTAAACATCATGCCTGGGATAAATCAGATTTCAGTTTTCCAAAACACAAGAAGTATTTTCTGCGGGGCTCACGCCCGTGTGCCCGGCTGAGACCTGTGCCCCTGCCCTTCAGACACCCTGGCTGCACGTGGCAGCAGGAAACAGCAGGGCGCAGGCACCGTTAGGATTCGGGAGAAGAGGTCTCAGGCAGCTTCACCCTGGTGGGTAAGCTCATAAAACGTATCTCCCTGTGCTGAGACGAGGGTGCGGGAGCTGCAAGCCACGATCGCCACGCCTCAGGTCTAGATCCTGAGGTCTGGCAGGTCTGAGAGCATTTGAAACTGAAACCTTGGCAGTTTCTATAAAGCAGGGCACCATCTTTACCCCAGGCAAGTGCTTTCGGCTCTGTCTTAGAGTCTTCCTTGTAAGTTTGTCGTGCTCTTTTGCCAAATCCCCAATTTCTCTGATGCTGTCAAAGTAGGAGTGTTGCAACAGCTGTTCACATGTCATTCTCTCCGCAGGGTCCATGTGGAGGCAGCCCTGAAAGAACAGAACGTTCATTTTTATAAAACACATTCTTATTAATTCCATTCTTTTTTCTTTTTTGACAGATTAATGTTTTCAGTTGGGAATTAGAAGGGAAGAGAGTAGCAAGTACACATCAGTCATGATTTTAGTTCCTTCTACAGTCATTCCTTAATAGATCCCTGCACAATAGATCAATAAATAGCTCCTAGACATAGTAACAGAAAACGTTTTTCCCAACTGGAAGCAGTCAGTGCTGTGCCCCAGGGAAGCAGGATATGATTTGGGAGTGACTCTGTGGCCAAGTGGGACAATCCATTTAGCCAGTTTGGTCCCTTGCATGTGCTTTGTAAAAGCAGTGTTTTTAATTAAAAGTGAATACTTCCACATGGTACAAGTGAGGTTCATACCGCATACAGCAAAGTCTACCACTCCGGGTCTTCTTTTTCCCGCTCTAGGATCAGCTACTCCTTTCTCTTTTTTCCAGTGTATCCTTCCAGAAATAGTCTATGCTTATAGTACATGCAAACGTGTATGTAATGAAACATAGCGTGCGCGCCTTTAGATCCCATCAACTCTGTTCTTTGCTATTAAGTGAGGCAGGTGGCTCAGATTTGGAAAGACTGAATCTCACAACTGCATAATCCAAGGAACTATCTCAATTCTTTTGTTATTAAATATATTAATAAGGGACCAGCAGTTGGTGTAATGGCTATGTCCCTGGACTCCCACGTAGCCGACAGACTGTGGTTCGAGTCCCGGACCTGGTGGCTTAAATTCATGCTAGGCGCGTGTGCATGCGTGCCCAGGATCCTGAGAGGAGAATGGAGGAGAAGGGATCAAGGTGTGGCCATCACCCCTGGTGGGTAATTTCTCACTTTCTGTCTCTGTCTCTGTTTTTCTAGCGAAACACAAGCGCCCTATAACAAACAAACAAACAAACAAACAAAAAAAAAACTCAAAAAAGTTCATGAATGTATTGAATAATTTCCATATGTATGGGACATTGTAAATTGCACATATTTAAATTGGTATCATACCTGATTTTACATAAGAGCTATATTTCTAAAAATGTATATATCATTCAATTTTAAAATCAAAACGTACTTCAAAAGGACCTGTGGAGTTGTCTATTTAAAAGGATCCTATGGCTAAGCATTTTTTTGAAGAAAAAGATTCCATTGTAAAATGAACATCTCTTTCAAAATTCTGTTTTGTGTAAATTTCTATTTCAAGCACAATGTGAGGCTTATTTAAAGTGAGAAATACAGATGTTTCCATTGTAATAGGATGTAATCACTTCAAAAATTGAAAATATTTATACTTTTCAGAGGAGAATTCTGAAAGGAACACTTTGCATTTCATGGACTGACATAAGTAATTCAGATTCCCCAGTGATGACAACTGCCATGTGCTTCCTGGTCTTTTGGAAGCTGTGAGTTTTACCTTTAAGAGTCCCAGGGCAGAATAAGAGATGTTTGGAAATTTTAATTCAAGTGGTTCCTGTTGAAAAGAAAGGGAGTTTTTAACTTGCACCAAATATTCAAATTAAGGTTACCTCCAGTTAAAGTTCCTTTTGCGTAGAAGCATTTTCATGGCACCTTCCTTGTCTCCTCCACCCTTGGTGCAACTCCACCCCTCTCCCGAAACAACCTCCCTCAGCCTGTTTCACAAGCTGCTCTCCCCACCTCCAAACCGCCTTCCGCATTTACTTCCTAAACACTCCTTTCTCTTCCTGAAGAACCATGCAGGTAGCAAATCGGCAAGCAAATGTGAACGAAACAATAATAATAATAAAACCCACCTGCCAAGCAGTTGTTATTTCATTTTTTTTCCCCTGACTCAATTTAAGTAACTTGCCTTTCCTGAGAATTGCCGGCATTCTATTAGGTCTTCAGAAAGTCACAACCTATTTTTCTGTTTCTTGATGCAAAACTGCGCCATGACTTTCCCCACAACCCAACAGAGGAGCCCTGATTATTATCAACACATTTATTGGCATTTATATAAAGGGAGCTTTAAAACAGATTTTTTTCCCCTATGCTTCTTGGTTTTCTGGAATATAAATACCACGGCCTCCTCCCCCCTGCTGTGTCCCTGCTCAACCTCTTGTTTAAAGAGTCTCCTGAGCAGGCATTCATCAACGCCCCCCCCCCCCATATAAGGCTATTTCACTCCAGTCACGTGCTAGGGAGACTGGCAATCACACTCTGCAGGGGGGGCTGCCGAAGATAGGCCAACAGGCCAGTTAAAGAGATCTGCTACTGACAAAGGCCGATTGAGGAGGGAAGCTGAGAAAATGAGCCGCGCCAGCCAAGCTGAGCAGAATCAGTGGCCACAGCCCTCTGTGCGTACAAAGCTGGCAGTGTGCGAGCGGGAGGCTGGAGTGGCCATCCGAGCCCATCTAGGGAAACCCGGTCCCTGCGCTGTGGTCAAGCTTCAGAGCACAGTGTCATTTTGGACAGGGAACCAGCTCCCAACAACCAGTTCTTGATTGTGCTCAAACTAATTGCTGACATGAGTAAGACAGGAGAGCCTCAGTTTTGGCATTCTCGACATTCAACAGGAGGAAAAAAGCTCCTAAAATAGATTGCCATTAGTCCTTGAGCGAACCTCCATTCCTCCAGCTTAATTACTGTGTCCTCCAGAAAGTCATGGGGTGTTTTTCTATGCAAATATGCATCCTGACTTTTCCAATGACCAACTAGTTCTGTTGCTCTTTCTGTGAACTGAACCTGAGCACTGGGGACTGATGTGACCTTGCTGACACTGGGCTCTGCTGCCCTGAGCAGTGAAGTCTGGGAGGAGGCACGCAGGGCCCATCCTGCCCGCGGAGCCAGTTTCCCAGTCCTACACAGGCAGGCCTCCCTCTGCTGGGCGTACTGACCGGCAGACAGACAGAGGGACTGGAGCACAGATGTCCAACAGTGCAGCCCCCGCACTGCTTCTTCCTGTGTTTCTGTCAACAGGAAATCTCCTGCTGGACAACCTCTGGGAAACCAAGGAGCTTTTTACATTTACGAAACCTGGGCTGTTTCAGAGCTTCTCCAGTGGACCAGGAAACAGGAAATCGCTGTGTGGTATTTAGTGCGCAACTGGGAAAGTTCAGGTCATGAGGGAGGCAGATGGGTCGCCTTCCATATGCCAGGTGTCATTCCTGCCTCTCCGTCCCTGCACGACCCACTCTTCCTATGGCTAGGGCTCCAGGAGCAGAGACAAAGGGGAAGGGGAAGCCTTCACAGTGGGACAGGGCAGGAGGCTGATGCCAGAGACAGGCGCCAGTGGGAGGAACAGAGGGAACTTCAACCGGGGAACTGAGCGACTGGAGGGTTAGTTAGCTTTTATTTGAGAGCACCTTTCTTGGGTAACAAAGTCAGGGCTTGAAAACTCTAATTTTACTCTGAAATGTTTTTGATTATAATACAGACTCATTAGAAGACATTCAATTATACACACACACACATACACACACACATATATATATATACACACACACATATAAACCCATAGAGAATACTAAAATTGTCACCCCAAAATCCCACTACAAAGAGACACCCACGGTTAACATTCTGGTGTCTATCCCTGTAGCCATTTATTTCACAAGTGGAAAAAGCTTTGCATTAATTTCTTAGAAGTTGCCTATTATTTTTATGTATCTTAGATATCTATCACAATTATGCCAAGTTATACATACTCTATAAAAACCATTTTTCATTTCATAATATGTTGTTGACTTTTCTTCAGGTGAATACATATGCGTCTAATCGTTTTCCTGGGGTATGTGATATTTCCATTGCAAGGATGTACCATAACTTCATCCCTTACTGATGGAACATTAATGGGAATGATTTCTATTCAATCATGAAACATCTTTATGCCTCTGTCTAATAGTTTCACTGGGAGAAATATTTGGAAGTGGATTAAGGATATGAACATTTTTCATCTTTCAGTTTTTTACAAATGGGTGTTGTCCTCACATTGGCCATAGAGGACCATCACTGGCATGAGGCTGGCCAAGTAAGTTCGCTGTGTTTTCTCCCGTGGTCTGGAGAGAGAGAACCCGGTAGAGCAGGGAATCTGGACAACACTGGGGAAGAGTAAGGAACTTCTTCCGAATGGGGTGATGCCCAAAAGCTGACTGGCTCTGCCCAAAATGACAGAAGACAGGTGTGGCCAGGGCAGGCAGCTGTGCATTCCTGTCCAACAGGCTGACTAAACGCTGCTGTCCACAGCCTCTACGTTAGCAAGGCTAAATTGGCCAAGGTCTTGCAATTGGTTAAGGTCTTGCAAGCCAATTTGTTCCAGTTTCCTTTTCCTTCTTAGACTGACCTTCTAGTCCAAAATGAGCCACAAGCTCAGGCAAGTGAGCAACTACCCAAACCTAGCTAGCCTGGCCTGCAGAGCATCCTCCAAAATGCATCACTCACCATATCCTCGGGGTCAGGGATTTTCACTCCACTGAAATACTGGTTCGTGCTAAATACTTGCTGGTGCCTAGGAATGAGATCCCCTATGGGCAAAGGGAAGAAAGAGGTAAGTGAGGTTGATAGGCCAACACTGATTGCTCGTTTCCCTCCTTCAGAGCTGTGTCTGCTTGTGCCTGCACTCCCCTCCCTGGCAGAGGGAGAGGTGTTAGGCACAGAGGAGGCAAGCATGGAAACCAAGGACTGCAAGGTCCTTGTCCTCAAGGGCCAGCAGGTATCTGAGGGATCCAAACCAAGCAACTCATTAGCACATGCCTAATAAGTAAATAAAATGCATTTAAAAAAAAAATAACAGAGAGCCAGCAGGTAGCAGGGAAGTGACAGCACTAGATCCAATATTGGCAATTGCACGGTTGAGTCCCAGACCCAGTGGCTTGAATATCAGGTTGAGTGTGTGTGTGTCCAGAATCCTGAGAGGAGACTAGAGGAGAAGGGATTGCAGTGAGGCCAGACATTCAGGGGAGGGAGGTGATTTCTTGCTTGCTCTCTCTCTTTCTCTCTCTCAATCTCTTTCTCTCTCTCTGGTGTGTACACACTCCATGTAGTGAAAAAATGTGGGAATAAAAAACTACAAATTTAAATCATTTCAACTAAATCCTCAAGTTCAGATAAAAGTATATTGGTCTAGCACTTAGAACAGTGCTGCACACATAGCAAGTCCTCAATAAATATGAAAGGTAAGGAGAGAAAGGAGAAAGTGCTAAAAGAAAGGAACAAAACAGGACCACCAGATGGTGTAATCATTACGTTGCTGGACTCCCATGTAGTCAACTGCAGTTTGAGTCCCAGACCCAGCAGCTTAAAACTCACACCAGGCATTGTGTGCATGCATGCCCAAAATCCTAAGAGGAGAATACAGGAGAAGGAATTACAATGTGGCCATCCCTACTGGGGAGTGATTTCTAGCTGTCTCTGCCTCCCCAGTGAGTGCACGTGCCCTATAGCAAAAATCTCTCTTCAAAAAAAGAGAAGAGGGAACCAGCAGTTAGCGTAATGGCTATGTCACTGGACTCCCACATAGTCGACTGCGGTTCATGTCCCGGACCCGGTGGCTTAAGACTCACGCCGGGAGTGTGTGCGCGCATGCCCAGGCTCCCAGGAGGAGAATGGAGGAGAAGGGATTGCGTCGTGACCATCCCCCCTCCGGGGTGATTTCTCGCTTTCTGTCTCTATGTCTCTGTCTGTCTGGCGAGCGCCCATGCCCTATAGCGGAAACCTTTCAAAAAAAAAAAAAAAAAGAAGAGATCAAATCATGGAAGATTTCCTGACTAGAAAAACTATCTTTCCAAATTGGAACTATCATTTTTTATTTTACCAATTAGCTATCAATTGGAAATTCCATTTCATCTATTACTGAGAAGTACTTATGGTACAAAGCAATAAATAAGAGGATTGTTTTGATTTTCTGGGGGACAGTGTAAAGCTCATTCTGCACACATGGCAGTCAAATGAGCTAAAACTACCCTCCCATAAAGTTCTAGGGGTATCATACTTGAAGAAGAATTCTGTCCAGAGGCCATAAGAAGATACTCAGGGGCCAGCCGGATGACATGGCAGCTGGATCTCAGATGGTCTCCTGGGAGATTTGAGTCCTTAACTACTGGGCAGCTTGGAACACAATGCTGAGCGTGTGTGTGTGTGTGTGTATGTGTGTGTGTGTGTGTGTGTATGCCCAAAATCCCAAGAGGAGAATGGAGGAGAAGGGATTGTGTCATGGCCATTCCTCCTGGGCTGTGATTTTTTTCACTTTCCCTCTCTCTGAAGAGCACACGAGCCCCATAGCGAAAAAAGAACAACAAAAATGAAACAAAACAATACCATACACATACACACACACATACACAAAGATGATACTCAAAAGGAACCCACTGGGGCACATCCTAGCCCATTCCCAGAGCAAACTGGAAACAAAAACTTTCCTACCAAGGGCATGGACATGTTTCCTTGGACAGGGCTAGAGTTCCTACCCCTACCCCAGGGTATCGAATTGTCAACTTTTACTGATTTGTTTTAGAGCTTTACCTCTCCCTCAACCCCCACACTGCTGCCTTGCCCCGTTTTGGATGAGCACCCAAATATACCCTCAATGTCTTCCGCAGACCTCAGTGAGCTTCACCGTGAGCACAAGTACCTGTACTTTAATAACCTTCCATCAGAGCAAAAGGGTGACACGGAGAGAGAGTCCTCAGATCACTGCAGGAAACACAGCTGAGGGGGAGGCTTAATGAGGTGCCTTGCACATCACTCGACACAATGAAGTGATCAGCAAGTATCTCCCACCTACAAAGCGCAGATGCTGGAAGGATAGGGAGACATCCCAGACATGATCTCGCCCTTGGGCAGCGTCCAGTATCTTTGCAATTGTAAGAGTAGAAGGCAAGATGATGCCGGCAGGTTGTGCAGGAGTCCGCGGAGGCGGAAAGCTTGCCTTAGAGTGGGATACTAGGGGGAGCAGCATCTCAACTCCCTGACTTTTGAGGAGGACAATCACTGCTTACGAATTTTTTTTTTGTCGCCACAGGATACGTGCTTCACCAGAGAAAGAGAAAGTACCCTTCCATGGGAAATAGTCACACCATAATTCCTTCTCCTCCACCCCTCCCTCCTTTGGAGATTTTTAGTACACATGCACACTCCAGGCCACGGGTTCCAGGACCCAACCAGGTGGTTGGCTATGTAGGATCTGGCTATCCCACCCGCCGGGCCATGGAGACACTCTCCCCTTCTTTTATTTATTTTTTTAAAATTCATGATAGTAAGAATGTACATGAGGAAACAGGAGTACCCTCAGTAAGGTCTTGTCCCCCTGTGACCCACTCCTCCTGGCCCTGCAGCTCATCAGGACCGAGGGTGTGCAAGTGTTTCGAGTTGATCAGGGAACTGAGCCCATGGTGGGTCCTGGGCCCAGTTCAGCAGATTGTGACTGCATGTGGAGGCTGGGCCCTGCTTCTGGATCTTTTCACCTGTCCCTCCTTCTCCTCTCCTGCTCCTCCACTCCCCCGGAAGGGTAGAGAAAAAACAAAGGGCACTGGGGTGGGAAAAGAAGAAGAGTGGTGATAGAAAAGCCAGCGGTTCTTCCCGATACTTAGGAGGCTGAGCATCTTCCTTCGTAGAGTCCGAATAATCCAAACTAGTCAGGCAGCCTGGAGTTAAGGTCAAATGAATTACCGCAACATAACATATGAAATAAACCATGAAAGCATTCTGTACATGGCTAAGCCCTCACAGAAATGTTTTTGGTGGTTGTTGCCATCATCATGATCTGGAGTTTAATCTGATCCAAACTATCAGAGAGAATCTTGTGTTTGGGGGCAATTAGTAAGTGCTCAATAATTGTTCATTATTTTTTAGAGAGATTTTTGCTACTGGGTGTGAGTACTTATCAGAGACAGAGAGAGACAGAGACTGAAAGGGAGAAATCACCCTAAGGGGGATGGCCACACTGCAATCCCTTCTCTTCTGTTCTCCTCTCGGGATTTTGTGCCTGGCGTGAGTTTCAAGACTCCAGGTCCAGGATCCAAGCCTCCATGGCAGGACCACAGTTGGCCATGTGGGAGTTCAGTGACATACCATTATGCCATCTGCTGGTCTCAACTATATATTATTTTAATTAAAACAAATAGAGACACCTTTAATGGAGTCATTTAAATGGGACTTTTCCTATCTGTAAAGGGCACTAGATGAGATAGGACTTAACTCTGCCCTGTGCCAACATGGGTAGAACTAGGCAGATTCCCAAAAGGTGAGACGAAAACACTTACCCAAGGTCTTCCTGATCAGGTAGAGCTGGTCCACATCTGATTTTCCTGGCCACAGAGGCGCTCCTGACAGCAGCTCAGCAAAGACACAGCCAACTGCCCACACGTCTACTGGGGGGCCGTACTGCGTGTCCCCCACCAGCAGCTCAGGGGAGCGGTACCACCTGGTAGCCACATAGTCTGTGTAGTAGTCACTGGGTCCAGCTGACCAGAGATGGGCCATGGAAAACAGAAAGCGCAGTGCACGTCTGGAATCAAAACTGGAAAGGAAGCCCTACGAAATCGAGCTTGTGGCCAGTCTGGTGGTTTTCTAAATCACTGGTTCTCAATGCTTGGTTGCACAGTAAAATCACTTGGAATGCAATATTTAAAAAATTATGTGAAGGCCACACCCTAGACCAATCAAACCAGAACCCCTAGGGAGGATCTGGGGTATCAGTATAGATTTTAAAGCTCCCCCTGATTATTTTAATCAGCAGCCAAGGTTGAAAACCACTCTTCTAAAGTAGAACTTCTGGAAAGTATTATTTTAGCAAAAATTGGTAGAAACCAGGATAACATCCTTTTTAATAACCACTTTCCTGTGGTGTCATTTATGTACAGTATACATATGCAAACCACGTAGGTGTATACAGGGTCTCAGTAATTACAGATCTGTCATTTATAGCGAGTTTCTATTGTAAATATTTAAGACTAGCTTTCCATAGCACTTAGATCCTTTATCATATCAAGAACATTTCCATCTCTTACACCTAACCAAAGCAAACGTCAACACTCACTCAGAAGTCGAGCAAATCCGAAGTCACAAAGCTTAATCACTGAATGTTTTGTGATGAGGATATTTTCTGGCTTCACATCTCTGTGTATGCACTAGTTACCAAAAAATAAAAAATAAAAACAGATCATTAAGGAACAACTCTAATATGTGAGGTAAATAAAATATATGAATAACAAATACTGGAAAAGTCCTTTGACTCTCTCATTGGCCTGTTGAATGACAGCAGAATAGCAGCCTGAAATAAATCTAACCTCATTCCACTTCTAGCCTGAATGATCTCAATTCTCGAAGATGCCCCCCAAAGACTAAGGAGGGTGAAAAGAAAAATAAAAGTAGGGTAGCCAGGCTCAGCAATTAAAAATGCAGGATGCCTTATTGATGATGACGTGTACAGTATTCTCAACTGGATTGGTCTGAGAAGTACGTCAGGATGGGTGAAGTCTTTTTTACAAGCCAAATGAGAAACCGTGATTGACTGCTTAAAAAATAATTAGATGAATGAGGAAGTGGGGGGTTTAATGTCTCTGTACTGACTGGCATGCACGGCATTCCCTTCTGAGAAAGCAATGTAATACACTGTGAAGTTCTATGCAATTCAATGTAATATAAACAAGGTTATGATGATAATAAAAAAGTAAATTTAAAAAACTGCATAAGAGAAAAGGCACAAATAAACAATATACTCAAACACACAAAAAAATGCAGGATGCCTGATTCTGTTTGAATTTTAAAAAAAAAACAACAAATATTATGTTCAGGATAAGTATGTCCCATGCAGAATCTGGGACATACTTGTACTAAAACATCACGCTCGTGTATTGGAAGTTTGCATTTCAATGGGAGTTCTGTAGTTCCTCTGATAATTCCGGGTGTAAAGGCTCTGGGTGCGGCCTGCATCCTGGTTGCAGGGGCTGCAAGTGGATGCATAAGCAGATTTCTCATTCGGTTGTTTGAGAACAGAGCACAGTCGGTCTGGTAAACAGGACAAGCCTTGGGCCTGCTGAGATAAGCTGGGAAAGAGAAGGGCGGGAACCAAGAGCTAGCCAAGAGATCTATCTCCATTCCAGCTCCGACATGACATTCGTCCTGACAAGATAAACAACAGTCGCAGCAAGCCTCACCCCACAGAGCGTCGCTAGATGTCAGCTCTGTCCCGCACACGAGGACTCCCAGAACTGCATCCACCTGTGGGATGGCGGGGGAGGGCTGCTCCATAATTTAGATTTAGATCACCTATGGTTTCCCAACCACAGCCAACATTCTTTATCAGGGTGACGTTAAAAGAATGTTTGAGAACCTTCACATGATTTCCTTATTCAATGGCAAGCCCTTTGGCGAAGAACAAATCAACAATCTAATTAGCCATTACTTGAGAAAAGAATCCCTGCGTCAAAGTTCTGCTCGGTTTCCTAACCACCTTCCCCACTCCCAAGTGTTTTCCTCATGGGAAGGGAATGTAAGATCCTTCCGCAGCCTCAGAGACCACCCTCTTGGGCCTACAGCCTGAATCCCAGGGGCTATTCTTGACTTTCTGGAATCTGAAGAGAGGACCAGGCAAGTTCCCTCTCCAAAGGACCATCAGGCTGAGAGATCAGCATTAGTGTTTCCCCTCAGAAATGTGTTATTCTGGAAAATATGGGGGGAGAAGCAATTTCTGAATAATTACTGTCTGTCTAGTTCTCAGTTAATGGCCCTGAGCTCTCTACACTTTTACCACCAGCTGCACGTATTGCTATAAATGGGTGCCCCCGTGAATATCCTGATGACATATGGTCAGGAAGACTTGGAAGCAAGAATGTGCTCCCATTCTGTTCTGGGAATTCTTTACAAGTTTCTGCACCCTCCCCCACCAGCACATGGAACCACACGGAGCGGCTGGGCTCCCCAGAGAACTGTGGTATGCATTGTCTCTGCCTTCAGTGTCAGATCTTTCCCACTAGAGCCTTCGGGGCTCTCTCCCCCATCCTAAACCTGCTCTCGGGAAAGTACTAAGGGCACTCACAGTAACTAACCACCTAAGGTGGTCCCGCTCCTGCTGTACAAGGTGAACATTTTGACCCTGCAGGGAGAAGTGCTGGCTTTCTGTTTTCTCTTTCTGAAAATGCAGCTTCAAGAAGAATCATTTGGAGAAGTGCAAGAAAGGGGAGTTAGCCCTACCAGCTAAACTGCCCCTGGCAGTTGGTGGGCTGACTTCTCGTATTACAGTCAAATTGCACTCCTGGCCAAAATGAAGCTGCAGTCTTGGAATCTGGTTTCCATGAGCAGGGAGTGGGCAGTGTCGTGCTGGAGGCTGCAGCAGGCTTCCAGGGATCCGTGAAGTCACAACGCGTGGGCCATAGTCCCGCCAGCCCAGCTGTGTCTGCGAGTGTCAGGGGCCTCCACTGGCCTGCTCCAGTCCCGCCTCGGCACTTGTGATTTTCTAAAACAGACGCTAGCACTCCTGGGACTCCACCTACTGCTACTGGCTGACTGCAACTGGACAGGCAGGAGTCACCTGGGACTCCACCTCCCGATTTCAGAGCCTTTTGGGGGATACCAGACCATGACAACTCCAAATGAATGGAATTCTACCTTAAATCTGAGTCATTTCCAATCAGTATAAATGTATGACTAGCTTCCTAAAATCCTAAAAATACATGTTTTATGTTACCCAAGCAAGAAGGAATAGCTAGTTGGCATTCCTGGCCTCTACTTAGCCCAACTAGGCTTATAAAGATTTGGGTGAAAATTTATATCCACAAAAGAGGGATAGAAACTTTGTACAAGGCTCCACCTCAGTTTTAGGGCAGCCTTTCTGATGTTTCAAGGAGACCATGAGACTTACATTGTGTTTATGGCAAAAATTTACAGCTTGCAGCGTCTGCCAAGTTATGCTCTTCACAAGATGTTCTGGTACCCTAATAAAAATAAAGAAGCAGCACAAACACATTCTTTAGTATAACCACGGAATTCGGCTCAAGGAAAGGAGAAGTAAACCAAGACCGGCTTCGGTCGTGAGAAACGCTCGGTGCCATTTGGAGTCTTCTCATTTATGAAGCAGCCATTCCAGGAGTCCAGTGTAAAGAACGTGACCAGCACACTGTGAGATCTAGGAATAGCAGGTTAACGAAAATGCCAGCATCCACTCTAACCTGGGGGTGAGGTGGGGACACAAAAACCCACTAACGTGGAACGATGACCACCTGCCTTGAACATCTGAGACACTCGGGCGAACTGCCTAGGAACTAAAGCTACATTTCTAAAGTTATTTATCTTTTATTTATTTATTTTTTCATGAGCCAGAGAGAGAAAGAGAGAAAGAGAAATAGGGTCTTGACACTGTGATTCCCCCAAGCCTCAGCCAGCTCCTGATTGTGGCAAGAGCATTTCAGTATACTCGGGGAGGTCTCCAGATGGGAACCTGCAGTCTTCTGAACCTTCCTTGTAGAAAGTCATGTTACCTCAGGCTTTCTCTGTTTCTGTAAGAAACTTTTTCTTGATGTAAAGTTAGCTTTTACACAGCACAAAAGATGATATTTGTTTTTTTCAAGCTGTCCCCAGCTGACAGCCTTGAAACAGGACTTAGCATTCATGTTGGGGCACACAAGTTTCTACAGACTCCCTAAGTAACATTTTTTTTTCTTAGTTTGCTGTAGAGCACTCTTGGGACGAAGAAAGAAAAAATGAGAAAGCACTGGTGGTGGGGGAGCACACCTTAATCCCTTTTCCTCTATTCTCCTCTCCAGATTTCAGGCATGCATACACATGTGCCAGGCATCTTTTTTGAGCCACTAGGTGTGGGACTCGAACTGCATAGTGAGCCATTTAGGGTTCAGCCCATCTTAAATACCATGCCACTGGCCAGCCTAGTATTTTCTTTTTAAGATAATGAAGATTTTAATGACAATAGGGAAGAAGCATACATAGCACACCATGTGATAAAAGTTAATAATCATTACAACCAGCAGGTGGTGTGGATCCCACATGGCCAGCTTTGCTGTTCAAGTCCTGGAATGGTGGCTTAAGAATCATGCTGGATGAGACCAGCAGATGGCATAATGGTTACATTGCTGGACTCCCACACGTCGACCGTGATTAGAGTCCTGGACCCAGTGGGTTAAAACTCACGCAGGGCGCATATGTGTGCGTGTCCAAAATCCTGAGAGGGGAATGGAGGAAAAGGAATTGTGGCATGGCCATCCCCTCTGTGGGGGAGTGATTTCTCACTTTCTCTCTGTCTCTCTGTCTTCTCTGGCAAGTGCATGTGCCCTATAGCAAAAATCTCTCTCAAAAAAAAAAAATTCATGTTGGGAACATGTGCACATGTGCTCAAAATTCAGAGAGGAGAGGAGAGGAGAAGGGACTGCAGCATGGCCATCCCCCTGGGGGGTAGTTTCTGACTTTCCCTCTCTCCCTCTGGCAAGCATATGTATCCTATAACAAAAACTAAAAACAAACAAACACCAGTTAATAATCATTGAACCCAGCCGAGGAGCTGAGGTTCTTTCCCCACACTGCTTCTCCCTGGTTGGCGGCTGCATCCTGCTCCTGTCCTTAGTCACAGCACCCAGCTTGACCCTAATCCTATAAAAACAGGGCAACCAGTAGCTCCAGCAGGACCTTCACATGAGTTAGGAAAAGGTACCTGTCTGGGAGCATTTTTTTTAAAGAATATGAGACAACTAGTGAAATGGACTACAGAGAAAGTATATTTATTTTCAGAGCTCACTACCCGACAGCTGGACTTGCCATTTTTATGAATCAAACATTAAACAATATTGTTGTGGTCCTCAGCCAAAATCGACAGGTGAACCTGAAAGGAAACGCTGGAGCAGTTGTTAAAGTGACCATAGAAAGTCACGTCCACCCTGTGGGAAGGCTACGAGGCCACTGTTGTCACAGGCCAGACGTTCAGGAAATCCTTTCAAGCAGAAGAGAGGATGCACGAACAGAGTGGGACAATGTGGAGGAAATTCAGAGGCCCCTCCAGGAAGGATAGCTGGGACATTTCTGAGCTAGGACTATGTCCCCGGGCTTGAAGTGGCTTTTCTCCAAATTCTCTTCCTTGTTCTAGTTGTATTTCTATATGCTAGAAAAACTCACCTGTCACGAGAGAACCAGAAAAATGCAACTAAAAAGAGACATTTCAGTGGGAGGCTTTCCCTTAGCCTCCACTTTCGTCTAGAAAAAAATGGAAAACTAAATTTTTATTATTTAGTGAATTAAGTATTAATATGGTGGGGCCAGCAGAAAGCATGGTGATTAAGGGTGCTGGACTCCAACATGGCTGACCTTGGTTTGAGTCCTGGACTTGGTGGCTTGCTTTCTCACTTTCTCTCTCTCTTACTCTGTCCCTCTCTGGTCAAATTAAAAATAAAGTTAAATAAATAATTCTTTTCTAAAAATAAAAGTATTAATATGGTTATCAATGCCAAGCAACTTAAGTCTCTAAAAATATTTCCCAAAAGAAATTATACAAAAGGAGCATTTAAAAGTAAAATGAAGGGATAGCAGGTGGTGTGGAGATTAAGACAATGGATCCCACATGACTGACTCTGTGGTCTGAGTCCTGGACCCAGGGGCTTCAAAATCATGCTGGGTCATGTGTGTGCATACCTAAAGTCCCAAGAGAAGAACAGAGGAGAAGGAAGGGTGACGTGGCAATCTCCCCAGGGGGTGATTTCTCACTTTCTCTCTCTCTCTGCCTGTCTCTTTGGTGAGTGCAGGCACTATATAGCAAAAGGAAAAGGAGTAAAGGGTAACAGCCTGTCCTTAATGCTTCTCTGCTGCTGAGCACAATGCTATACAATCCTCGAGAAAAATCTATGTACAAACCATTTAGTGTGATTCTGAGTTTCCTAATCATGTCACTTTTTTTGTCTATAGGGTGCATGTGCTCACCGGAAAGAGATACACAGAGAGAGGGCGAGAGAGCACTGCCTGTGCGGTGACCAGGCCACAACCCCTTCTCTTCCATTTCCCTCTTGGGATTTTGGGCATGCTTGCGCACATGCCTTGCATGCTTTTCAAGCTCCTGGGTCCAGGTTTTAAACCACACAGTCATGTGAAATCCAGCCACCTCAACCACCATGCCACCCAGCTGGCCCACAATCAACTTTTTTTTTTTTTTTCTCTTCGTTATAGGGTAAATGTACTCACTGGAGTGGGATAGGAAGAGAGAGAGAGAGAGAGAATGTAAGAAAGCACCCCCCGAGGGAGATGGCCACAATGCAATCTCTTCTCCATTTTCCTCTTGGGTTTTGGGCATGCACACAAATGTACCCAGCGAGTTTGTCAAGCGATGGGTCCAGGCCTTGAACCACAGAGTCAGCTGTGTGAGATCCAGCCACCTTAACACCACGACACCTGGTTGACTCAGATGTTACTTCTTCATTACTCAGTTTCTGCTCTGAAGTGCAGGGGCCTCAGACGCTAAGATCCCTTTGAGCTGCAACATTCTGAGATGATAACAGGAGCCAGGTTTTCGCTGCTGGAGGAGGGAGTTACGAATATAGAAAGGGAGACAAACAGAACATATTCTGTCATGTTGGGTTCAAAGAGAAACAGAGAATGTGTACTGTGCCAGAAGGGGGGCTGTCTCACTTAGAGACATCCAGGAAGCTTCTCTAGTTAAGGTAGTTAAGGGAGCATCTGAAGTAGTAGTTAAGATGGTAAGAAGTGGCCAGATTTAGGCTATATGAGGGCTCTTCGAAACTATCTGGAAAATGCATATTATTAAAACACTATGGGATCAGCCAGTAGTGGCATGGTAATTAAGGCCTCTGGATTCCACATGGCTGATTGAGGTTCAAGTCCTGAATCTGGTGGTTTAAACAAATATATCAGGTGCTGGGGCCAGCAAATAGCATAGTGGTTATGTCACTGGACTCCCACATGGCCAACCACAGTACAAGTTGTGGACTTGTGGCTTAAAAATCATGCTGTGTGTGTGTGTGTGTGTGTGCGCGCGCCCAAGATCTCAGGAGGAGAATGAAGGAGAAAGTATTGCGGCGTGTGGCCATCCCCCTTGGAGGGTGATTTCTCACTTTCCCTCTCACTGTCTCTGTCTCTCTCTCTCTGGTGAGTACATGCACCTAAGGTAAATTCCTCTACAAAAAAAAAAAGAAGAAGAAGAAGAAGTCACCCCAGCACATGTACATGCATGCCCAAGACCCGAGGAGGAGACTGGAGGAGAAGGGATTGCCACATGACCATCACCACATGGTTTCTCACTTTCCCTCTCACTGACTCTTTCTCTCTCCGATGAGTGCACACACCCTATGGCAAACACCTAAAAAACACACACACAAAACAAACAAACAAACAAACATTGTGTGCATATACATGCCTGCCCCAAACCCCAAAAGGAGAAGTGCAGAAGTGATTGGGGCATGGCCATCCATGTGGGAGGTGCTTTGTCTAGTAAATCAAAAAACAATGGGGGGGACCAGAAGTTGGCATAATGACTCTGTCACTGGACTCCCATGTAGTCAACCGTGGTTCAAGTCCCACAACTGGTGGCATAAACTCACACCAGGTGCATGTGCATGCGTGCCCAAGATCCCAAGAGGAGAATGGAAGAGAAGGGATTGCGGCGTGACCATCTCCCCTGGGGGGTGATTTCTCGCTTTCTGTCTCTCTGTCTCTCTCTCTCTCTTTCTGGCGAGCACACGTACCCTATAGCAAAAACCTCTCCAACAAAACAAAACAAACAAACAAAAATAACAATAGAGGACCAGCAGATGGCATATAGTTATGCCACTGGACTTCCATGTAGTCAACCACAGTTCAAGTACCAGACCCAGCAACTGAAAATTCACACCAGGTGCATGTGCATGCATGCCCAAGATCCCAAGAGGAGAATGGAGGAGGGAGGATTGAAGTATGGCCAACACCCACCCCTGGGGTATGATTTCTG